CAGTGTAACATTCTATATAGCAAGATGATGAGTTTGTAAAGTATCAAAGTATCTTAAGGAAAAATACTCCACAGTTTGGTCTAAGTCTAAACAGGATTGTGGGAGAAAGAATTTACAAGTTGTCATTGAAGGTCCAACACCCCCACCCCGTGCAGTAAAACTTGATAAGATCCCAAAGGAATCAGAAGAAGGTGTGGGTCAGGTGATAGAGGCATTGGCAAGGAGTGTTGAGAGAGAGTAATTTCAAATGTAATTCTCCTATATGGCCAATAATTAAGCCGGATGCTTTTATCGTTTAGTTTTGGACATGCGTGTAGTGAATAAGTATACCCCACCAGCAACTCATCTAGTGGCCTCCTCACCAGCTTCAGATATCATGGCTCAGGTAGATGGGAATGCTTAATAATTTTCTATCCTGGATATAGCCAATTGGTTCTTTTCTATACCATTACATCTAGATAACCAGTGTCGCTTTGCTTTTACCTTTAAAAATCATCAATATCTATTCCAGGCTTCCACTCCTCACCAGCTTACTTTCACAAAGCATTGGCTCGGGTATTGGAACCCATGGGGTATGGAAACAAGGTTTTGCAATATGTTGAAGATCTGTTAATTCAAACAGAAACAAGGGAAGAACATGAGCAGATATTGTGTGATCATGTGTGATAGCATAGAAGTTATATATGATATGGCAGGGATAACAAAAGCCTTGTACAATAAGCTAAAATATAGTGCCAATACAGATAGGCTACTCTGGACAGAGGAAGCATAAAAAAGTTGCAACCTGTTAAAAGATGCTCTCACACAAGCGCCTGTGCTAGCTGCTCCCATTGACACAGTACCATGTATTGTTCAATGTTACGCAGGTGCATCTTCATTAATAGCAGTTTTGATGCAAAGGCAACACTCTTTACGAATACTCAGGGCCGCCATCAGGGGGTGACAACCATGACGGTTGTCACGGGCCGGTGGCCCTGGGGAGCCCGGCCGCCCAGGCCCCAAGTGGATCGGCGGAACTGCCGGCGGTGCATCTGCACCGGGGCCCATCAGGTGGCCCATGCATTTAGGGCCACCCAATGGGCCCTATTATCTTCAGGGGCCCGGTCAGCGCTGTAATAGCGTGACCGGGCCCCTTAAAAAAAAATGCAGCTGGAAAGCAAGTGCTGCTGGGAGGAAGTGACGGCCAGTCACTTCCTCCCAGCTTACTCCGCGCGGAAAGGAGGAGAGACAGCATGAAGGCCGCGAGGAGAGGCAGTTGACTCACATCATCCCCAACCACCCTCCTGCGACGAAATGGTAAGGAAGAGGAGGGTGGCTGAAAATGAGATGTGTATATATATGTATGTATGTATGCCAGTGTCTGTGTGTATGTATGCCAGTGTCTGTATGTATGCCAGTGTATGTATGTATGTATGCCAGTGTACGTATATATGCCAGTGTCTGTATGTATGCCAGTGTATGTATGTATGTATGTATGCATGCCAGTGTCTGTATGTATGCCAGTGTCTGTCTGTATGTATGCCAGTGTCTGTATGTATGCCAGTATATGTATGCCAGTGTATGTATGTATGTATGTATGTATGCCAGTGTATGTATGTATGTATGTATGCCAGTATATGTATGCCAGTGTCTGTGTGTATGTATGCCAGTGTATGTATGTATGCCAGTGTATGTATGTATATATGCCAGTGTCTGTATGTATGTATGCCAGTGTCTGTATGTATGTATGTATGTATGCCAGTGTCTGTATGTATGCCAGTGTATGTATGTATGTATGCCAGTGTACGTATATATGCCAGTGTCTGTATGTATGCCAGTGTATGTATGTATGTATGTATGTATGCATGCCAGTGTCTGTATGTATGCCAGTGTCTGTCTGTATGTATGCCAGTGTCTGTATGTATGCCAGTGTATGTATCTATGTATGCCAGTATATGTATGCCAGTGTATGTATGTATGTATGTATGTATGCCAGTGTATGTATGTATGTATGTATGCCAGTATATGTATGCCAGTGTCTGTATGTATGTATGCCAGTATGTATGTATGTATGCCAGTGTATGTATGTATGTATGTACATATGCCAGTATATGTATGCCAGTGTATGTATGTATGCCAGTATGTGTGTTTGTATGTATGCCAGTGTGTGTGTATGTATGTATGCCAGTGTGTGTGTATGTATGAAAGTATGTGTGCCAGTGTGTGTGTGTATGAATGCCTGTATGTATGTATGTCAGTATGTGTCTGTATGTCAGTATGTATGTGTATATGTATATATCAGTATGCAGTATGTGTGTGTCAGTATGTATGTCTGCATGTATATGTGTGTGTGTGTGTCAGTATCTCCCTATGCATGTGTGTATGTCTGTTTCAGTATTTGTATCTGTTAGTATGTGTGTATCTTTCTGTGTGTGTATTCCTGTGGGCGGGATTTGGAGGCGGGCCCTGTGGGCGGGCTTGAAGGGGGGCCCAGACCTTGAGCTGTGTTAGGGGCCCCAAAATTTTTGATGGCGGCCCTGCGAATACTGGGATATTTTTCTAAAATTATGTCTCCACTGAAAAGGGGAATGTATTCCTTTGTAAAACAGCTGTATGTTGCGCTGTAGAAGCAACACAACACGTTGTGGGATTTGTAAAGATAATTTTACAAAACCCCCAAAACCTTTAAAACTGTTACAAAATTGTTCTGATTTATGTGTACATAGCCAGAGGGTAGCTCATTGAATATTAAAGTTACAAAATAAACCACTCAGGGTAGAAACCAGTAAGTTTATGCAGATGGATCACATCACACAGGTTATGCTATATATGATAATCAAACAAAGGAAATGCAAAGATAATCATTGCCAGGCCATATTTCTGCTCAGAGAGCTGAATTAGAGTCCGTAAAAGCTCTAGAAATAACAGTATATAATGAATGTAATCAGTGATAGTAGCTATGTAGTTAAAGCATTAACACTTCACCTCCCAATATGGAAAAAATGGGAATGGTAAATTCTCATGATAAAGCTTTAAAACATGCAAAACTTTTTGACTATGTAGAAAAAAAGTTTTAAAGGACCACTCTAGGCACCCAGACCACTTCAGCTTAATGAAGTGGTCTGGGTGCCAGGTCGAGCTAGGGTTAACCCATTTTTTCATAAACATAGCAGTTTCAGAGAAACTGCTATGTTTATGAATGGGTTAAGCCTTCCCCCTAATCCTCTAGTGGCTGTCTCATTGACAGCCACTAGAGGCGCTTGCGTGCTTCTCACTGTGATTTTCACAGTGAGAGTACGCCAGCGTCCATAGGAAAGCATTATGAATGCTTTCCTATGTGACCGGCTGAATGCGCGCGCAGCTCTTGCCGCGCGTGCGCATTCAGCCGCATGGGAGGAGAGAAGGAGGATCGGAGGAGGAGAGCTCCCCGCCCAGCGCTGGAAAAAGGTAAGTTTAAACCCTTTTCCCCTTTCCAGAGCCGGGCGGGAGGGTGACCCTGAGGGTGGGGGCACCCTCAGGGCACTATAGTGCCAGGAAAACGAGTATGTTTTCCTGGCACTATAGTGGTCCTTTAACTTGATACTGTTAAAGCCCAGGCACAACAAAACACGAAAAATTGTGATGAAATGGCAGAAGGAAACAGACTTGTAGATCAGGGGGCAAAGGCAGCTGCTTTAATAGGAGATATGCAACACTCAGAAGATGTAATGATTGCAACTGTGAGCAAAAGACAAAAAGCAGATCCTTTACAAGATCTGAATGAGAATCAGAGTAAGGATGTACCTTTTAATCCAGAAACAATGAATCTAGATACTGAAAATGGCTTGTCCGGATCTAAACATGATGAAACACAAACCTTTGTACCATTTATATCTAGTGGCTTATTGCAAGTACTGATTTTACGTATTTAATCATTGTACACTGGGGAATTTGGGTACAGAAAAGCTGTATATGGTCCTGTAAAATAAAATGTTATCATCCTAATTTAAAAGAATGGTGTACAAACATAATGCAGGAGTGTCTCATATGTACTCAATTTAATCCAAGACCTAAAGGCCAGAAATCAAAGTTGCTGAGAGTATCTTTAACAAAATGACCATGGGACTCAGTACAAATTGATTTCATTGGACCATTACCTGTAGCCCCAGAAGGTCTAAGGTACGGATTGGTAATTGTTGATATATTTTCAAAATGGGTGGAATGTATCGCTCTTACCAACTGTACTGCATTAACAAAAAGCAGGGCACTATAGAAAATTTTATTTTTGGTATAGCGTTTTCCTAGAATTATTGATTCTGACAAAGGTCCACATATCAATGGAGAAGTACTTAGAGAAATGTGTAAACTGTTGGGGATCCAACAAAGATTTCATGTCCCTTATCATCCACAGTCAATTGGCATAGAGGAAAGAATGAATAGGACATTGAAATCTGGATTGAAAATATGCTTTAAAACAAGGGGAGTAGTTGGATAGCACATTTACCAGGAGTATTAGTGTCCATTCGTGCAACTCTAAACAAGTGTCACCCCATGAGTTAAAAACAGGTAGAACCATGCCATTCACTTTCCCCAATTAACCTTTTGTTCCGCGTACTTTCAAAATTGCCGCAGAACATGCGCAATGGAACAGTTTAAAGTTTGCTGCTTTGAATATGGCCCCCTCTGGTAAACGATGGGTTAAAGATGCAACACAGTATAACAATGCAGATAAGTTTAAACCAGGGAACAAGGTGATAATATAATTTAAAACACCGGGTCCCTGGGAAGCAGGTTGGGAAGGTCCATATATCATTCTAAAGAAATTGGGACAAACTGTGTTATAGGTTCAAAGAGCAAAATTTGGTAGAAGATGTAAAAAGATGTGCATATTGATCAATGTAAACTTATTAATGTATAGGAATAGTAAACTGCCATCTATTCTTTATTACAGGACCAATAATGTTTTTTTCATGGACAAAAACTGTTTGATATTAAAAAGGACAACATTTTTGGATGTTCAAAGGACATTATGGACAAAGAGACGGTGATTGTGGATTAAGTTGGAGAGGACATTATTTCGTGGACTACATCAAATCAATTTTGTTTTCTGGTTAATGTAACATGGATACAATTGTACAGAATAATAACAAGGACACTGTTATTCATGCTTTTTGGTACAATCAATGCCCAAGGTACAGCTACTCAAGATTGTGAAAGTAGAAATACTTTTGCTAAATGAACCTAAAGGGTGAGATATTGTAAGGCTCCTGATGTTGATTATTGTGAATGCACACCTCCCTGTCACAGGTACCTAATTTAAGGACCCTATTCAACCTTGACATGCAGAGAGTCCCAGGAGGTAGCATTTCCCAAGAAAGTGGATTAAAATCATAAGATCAAGCATTAGGTGCTAGAGTATGACCTGTCAAGAATGGGGTACACTGACGTTGTGGCAGGCTTATGCAAAGTATATAGATCATATACTTTAACTAATCTCCCATTATTTCTGAGGTGAGGTGTTTTAAATAAAACTATTACATTCTATGATATCTGAAATTGCTGTATAGTGAATGAATGAGTGTGTTGGATCTTATATGTTGTATGAATTGGCCCCAGCAGCACCCTAATGTATGGATGTTCAGGTGAGTGTAGCCTCTTGGTTTTTATATACATGCATTAATGCAGACATGTCTGAGGATGTAATATCTGACATGCTTACATTTTATGATAACTTAGAACCATGTATTACTGTCAGTCACTTGATGGAAGAATTTATATAATCGTTAATATCACCAAATGTTTTACATAAATAATGCAAATTATTATGGGTAATTGAAAAAGCTGCAACTGGAATACACAATACCTTATTGGAAATACATACATTGCAAGGTATGATAAAAGCATAAACCATGACTGCATTGGTAATGGTGGATTGGGGGGTAATTTTAATAATTTTAATTGTGATTTTATTTAGTTTTAGTTGTTAGATTGTGTAAAAGAGTGGATCGCATACAGCCTCAAATGGTAGATACTGAATACAGATGTAAATATCTGACAACAAAGTTAAAATCTTGTAAGGAAATGGAGAACGATAATATGATGTCTGACACTTATCAAGCATCAGAGGAGGGAATGAAAATGATTTAATGAAAAGTAAAATATCTGATGGGTGGTAGGATTTTATATATTTGTAATAAGAATATTTATAATTTTTTTGTATTAGTTGCAAATATTATCATTCTCTCATGAGAATTCTTTCAGACACAGGAACTGAGAGGCCCTACCTGTACATGTAGTATTAATTATATTATAAAAGTCCATTGTATTTCAGAGGTCAACACACATGGTTCGTGTTAAGGTAAGGATTGATAAAGGTCCGTTTGTTACAATGACCTTGAAACCGACATTGCAAATCAGACTCCCCTATGTATTAAAAAGGGCTTCTTTCTATTTGCATTGAATTTAAACACATATAGTATTTCTAGTATAATTATATTTTACCCTCCCAAGTACAATTATTTTTATAACATATGGCTTTAATCATAGATTAGACAGAGTGGTTACTAAGCCACAACCCTTTTTATGATGTTCACATATATTAGAGAACCCAGCCTGATAACCCATAGAAATGCTCTAAAGGCTGGGAGCTCGCAAGAGTTTGAAGGAGGAGCTGCCGGAAGCTGAAGATGAATTTGATGGGCTCCCAATAAGATGAAATTGTCTGGGTGCCTAATTTGCTGAATGGAAGGACAGTGCCTGGGATTGTCATACACTGTAACCACTTGTACTGGAGGTACAAAATCACGCTTCAGTGATTATAGCTCCCCACAGATGGCACATAGTGCTGGGGAAAAAACTGGCTTTATCAGAGACATCAGCAGGGGGTCACAAACAAGAACAGTAGGTTACCGGCCTGGTGCCTCTGAGTCTGGAAAATAAACTAACTAAATTAACATATTTCTCATATACAAATTATATATCCCAATTAATTAAAAAGAAAAGAATAAGAATGTGAGGTCCTAAACAGGAGAATAGTAAATAAAAAGGAGTCCCTACCTTTAATAGTCCTAATGATGGGAACAATTTAAAATGGACAGGAAAAATAAGCGAGACCAAGGTAAAGGGAAATGGTGTGTCAAAGCACATCCAGACCCTAACTACTAACCAGCTCAAAATGCCCAGGTTATGCCAAAATTCCTATGCAAGCCTAGGTAACTTCACATTAAAGATGGAGAGTAGAGAAAACAGGTAATAAGAAGAAAATCACGGCTAGGCTAATTAGGGGATATATCTGGATACCTCCTAAGAAAAGGGATGAAAAAACTCCCAAAAACCCAAGCCCAGACAAAAGCCACTAATAGGAAAAAAATCCTATAGCTATATACCTCGGCACTGTGATGAAACACACAGATGCCTACCTGTACACCTCTCCCTGCCTGTCCAGATAGCTAGAATACATAAAATAACTTAAATAAAACTAATCCATAACTCTGTGCTACCAAGTGAACGATAAAAGAAAGTAATGATTAGCTCCACTAATCATATCATTATTTCCTTTTTTATATCCCAATAAAAACCTCTGATTTGAAAAAAAAATGTATATATCCCCAGACAGGTCTCGTTCCCACAAGTAAAGTGTCCAGAAAGCACCTGGATCTCGTGTGCCTAGCCCAATAAATCTTCTAACGAAGTTTGACTGAGCTGAGAGTATATCGCGATCAGAAGCGGAGTTCTAGGCTGCGTCTAAGTGTCAATTACTGAAATTAACGGATTTTGGAATGGAGAAGGGGAGCTCCCCTGCCTCTTAGGTAGTGATTGGGAACCTCTCTCTTCCCTCTTCCTCTCCTCCAAAAATCTCTCTTGTAGCTCTTAGATTCACAGATTGCACTGGGCAGCCGAGTGAGACTTGGAGCGCCATGAAATTAGCACCTGGTTCCGGCCTCCTGCAACAATTTTATGGGTCAGTCTTAGAGCGCTTAACATTGCGGAGGCTAGGATAGAGGTAGATGGGCCAGATGGTGATTTAGCGCTTGTTGTAGAGTGTGTAAAGTAGAGTCCTGCATCGGTTAATCTGCTGGCCTGACGGAGTCTCCGCCACACCACTTTAATGAGATTAAGTAGTTATGATACTAATAATGTCACTTTTAAATCATTTCTCGCAGAAATGATTTCAGATTCTGACCATTTGTAAACACTGCTAGTTAGGTTAAAATGGTCCAGGATTGGTCTAATACAATTGTAAAGTAATCTGATTGAGCAGTTGACTTGGGAATAGTTACATACAATAGAGTCTAGTGGATGAGTACATTATTGTCATACTAGACAGATTAGAAAGATTTTGAGGCAAAATGGTTTTTTGACTGAGTAATTCACGAATGTATCGCACCTCAAGATCTAGTGTAAATCATGGTGATATTTTGCTACCAAGTTATAGTCAGATATGTGAGGGATGTTAAAGGACCACTATAGTGCCAGGAAAACAAACTTGTTTTCCTGGCTCTATAGTGTTAATAGGTCCCCCCCCCACTTTTATGGCCCCACTCCAGCTGGGCTTTCAAGCTTTGGAACATATAGGGCCAGGAAATCTGATCAAATGCATTGTGAGCATCTAGTATCATTAGATGTAGTAGAATACAGTTCTATGACTGTTACTGATAAAGCCACTCCAACACTCTTGATGATTATTTACCCCTAGTGAAGCCTAATTGTTGTGGCTGCAATATACATGTAAGAAAAATGTCTAATCTTCAGGCTATAATTTTGGAAAGAAGTTTCAGATCTTGGTTAACGGACCACTAAAGACACCCATGCCACTTCATCTTAATGGTCCTGTCGATTTAACCCTTCAATGGTTAAACGCTTCTACCTCCAAACTCAGTTCTTTGACCATACCAGTATTTGATTGGAGGAGCGTGGTGTTTTGCTGTGCTTGCATATCTCGTCCCTAACGCTTCTCTATGAGTAGCATTGGGTTGGTCGAGATCGCGGAAGAGTCAGCATGCTGATGAAGTTGGAGGCAGAGCGGGTAACTACAGTGGAGGCTGGAAACAAGGTAAGTAATCTTTATAAACTTAACTTTTAAAACACTAAAAAGGGGTGGGGTGGATGGAGTTCTGAGACATCGTCCTTTTTTCAATTTGATAGAAGTATGGCTCTGCAGAGAGCCTGGAATTTTTGGTTGCTTTAGTCCCTCTGTTTACATCAAACCACTCAAATAGTTTGACGCATGGCCCTTTAAAGATGTTCCAAAATAACAGAAGGTCTGCTATGCTCTTGCCACATTTTGTTACATTTTACAGGTTTTATTTTTCTTCCTGACTCGGCCACAAGCAAAACCACTACAGATCTTCCTGAGCCATTTTCCGTTCCCAGTTGCATATGGAAATTAGCTTTCAAAGATTTATATATACTAAACTACTGTGGGTCGACCAATTTAAATTCCAGCTATTTTGGTCTAAATCTGCAATTCCTCTATTCATTTCTTGATTAGTGAATGTAGCGGCGCTCCAATTCTCCAAGCAAGTATCTCCACTGAAGTCCTCTCAGGTTCGACGAAATACTGCTGTAAGGATTATAGCCAACTTCCCTAAGCACTAGAAGACAGTAAAGGGGAGAAAAACAACCTTTATTAAAACAAAACATCTATTTATACCCCCAACAGCCTCATTTACTTACAAAAAGGTTACCATGGTACCCAATGGCAGTATGGACATAAGATAGAACCAATCACACTGCATATCGCAAGCCAACCAATAAAAGTATGAACTTGGGATAGCTACCAATCACACTGCAACACTTACAACCAGTGTGAAAGGAGCCTTGTAATTACCACGAAGGGTGGGGACAGACAATAACAAGGGCTGAGAACCACATAATAGATTCAAAGCAGTGTCCGGGCAGTCAATTTGAACTGGTCTGGAAGTGTCCCTGGAACAATGGAACAACGCCCTGCAGGTAGAACAATAAGACAGGAAAGGGGGAGGGGGTGGGGGAGGGGATAGCACATACAATCAGGACAATCAACACGTTCAATCCAAAACACAGGACCAAATAATATGGGGAAATATTTAGGCACTCCTAACAACACAACATCAAATAGCAGACCATGGGTCTTTGGGCCATGGGAATTTGCAAGCTCCTCCACAGTGAAAACCACGGTAATTGTTGCAGGTGCAAGAAGAAGACCCAGCTGATTACATTGTGACCACTCGTGTATCTTCTGGCCCGATCCAGTTTTTGTGTTTATTGTGTGACTGCAAGCACGCTATTTACTAAAAGCTAGAAGATTTAGCTTGTGTAGCCTCATTCTTGGCTGTTGTCAGATGTAGTCGTTGAACAAGCACACAACTTCTGTGACTATTTT